GTCAGTATTTAAATATTCCATCATCAGTTCATCGGCTTCATTTAGATATCACGTGACAACACAGACATAGTACAACATGGGGATTCCCCTTCGTACAACCACGCAGACCGTCTTAACCGAAGTTGCAATATGATCACAAAATGAGTTTAAATGATGGCAAAGGCATATATATATATATATATGTAGATAATGACGTTGTATAAAATGGTAACGACAGTAAATTAAAGTGTTCATGCCCGAATGGCAGCGAGTGAAACAGAGTGTAACGGCTCTACGTAAAGCTGTCTAACGGAGGCGTATTCTTGTTCGTCAGACATGAGGCGGCTCCGTTTGCTGTCTTTTACCTTTCAAGGCATTAACTTATTTGAATGGACTTTTTGTCTCACACTTCACTTTTCATATTGTACTGTTTTTTATTCAGATTTTAACGAACTTGTGTAAATTACATCAACTTGACTCCGCATGCTCATATCTTAATTCACCACTGGAATTTATATTTGTGCTTCAGGTCGGAATAAACGCTTAAAAGTTTTTGGTGTTTTGTTCTCCAATGCAGTCTTTAACAAGATATATTTTACATTGGAATTCCAAGATTGATGGTTGATGAAAAATATGGGGAAGTTTTACAGTTGCCATAGTGTTTTATTGTTGAGAATTGTTCTTTGTGGACGTGTTTGATTCTCGTTAGTTTGCTTGTTTTTTATTGTTATATACCTTGTTCTCATTTGATATAGTGACATTTCGTACATTAATTGACAAAAGTTTATATGACGGATGTCGCCGATGAAGCAGAAGGCACTAACTCTTCCAGAGTCTAACTCTCCTAGTACTTATTTCAGAAATTTACTTGCAAATCTTCTTAAATTCATGTTTATCCCTTAGTTTTATTGAAATAGTGTTTAGATGAGTGTGGTATTGTTGACTTGTATTTTCTTTTTGTTTTCCAAAACATGAACAAAATGATAATACTAACAAAATTGCCAACACGACCTTAATATTATTTTCATTTACCAAATAAGGTTATGAATCGGCCCTGTTCTACAAGTTTAAGGTCGACCATACTTTCAAAGAATTTTAGGTGCAGTAGAACATTATTGACAACAATTAAAGAAATTGATCGCTATTAACTTGAACAAGCCACAATTCATTAGAATTAGACCTGTTGTCTCAGTAGGCAATATGAATACCTTAATAATGGCATTTCAAAAGAACGCAGTCTAGATTTATAGTTGATAATGCAGGTATCAGGTATATCAATCAATAAATGTTCTTAACGAAACATGCACCATCATTTCAAGAATCAATATTGATGGATACAAACTTGTACAAGCACGTCTGTGCATAGGACAAACAACAAGTTGTTTATAGTGTGTTACCGCAGTGAAGTCGCCAGACATTGCGAGCCTCTCTTTAATATATTTGTTATAGCAGTAGTATATCGTTGTTAACAAGGAATTTTATCTCCCCTACTTATCACAAATTCTGCATTGTACTCATTTACAAGCTAGCATGGCCTAGTGTCAGCAGCTGTTTTAGATAACTCACCATTAGTATCAAAATGTAAGGGAGGTAGGGCGGAGAAATGATCTGAGAATGATGGACTGATAATACATACCTGCTGCAGGTTCACCGAGATTGAACTCATTACCATCATTATTGGGTACGTTAGCACTAAGACGAGGACAAGGCATGGACGACCCAATTATCATAAGTCTAGACTAATCCATGTAGAAACAAAAATATGCATTTCGTTTCCTTTAGACTTACTGACTGTAGCCTGGATAACATATAGCGATATATCTATGTCGCATAGTATTTTCTTGATGTTATTATTGTTGTAGAAACAGGTCACACAATCTCAGGCTACTTGTATTAGATATTTCTTTTACGTGCATTTGTTATTCCTATAAGGTTTGTAAATACAGAACTAACTCGAGAGAAATAAATACCATATACAACAACAGCTGTTTTGAAACTTACATTTACCATGTCAATATCGATATTATTTTTCTTAGCATCTGCATATATATGAGGACGAACTTGCACAAAACTCACTTTTCTCAATCTTATATTTACATAGTTATATTATGTATGCTGACAAAAGTCATTAAGGAATCGTATACACTCATATTATACAAGCAGAGCTAGCAAAATATACATGTTTATGTACTCATAATTAGGACGTCAGTCAAAGTACACTATTTAAGCATGGTTTCATTGCTTATGAGTACTACTTCAGATGTATATATTGGCAAGAAGTTATTGCCCAGTGTAATAGAAACAAACAACGGTAGCCAGTTTCCCACAAATACCGAGACGATAAGGCTCCGAAAATGATATTAGTAAACAATGTCATATTAAAAAGCTATAACAGTAAAACTAGGTAAATGTAAAATAAAGTTTCTGAAACAAGAACAAAAACAAGTGTTATTAAAACGTGTCAAACCAAGTTTGATACACGAAGAAGAAAGATTAAACTGATAAACATATAATCAACTTTGTGAGATGTAACCTTCAACTGTCTGACAGACACGTTACTGTTACAATAAGAAGTGATCGCAATGGTATGCAGTGTTGTACAAGATTGTACTATAATTGTAATTACATCTGTGATATAGTGTAAAGTGATCGGGTGACGCAATGGTATGCAGTGTTGTACAACTTTGTACTATGTAGAGAATACATGGTCAGCGCCCTAAAATAAAAGCTGTATTTTGGCAAGGATGAAGAAAGACAAAAGTGGTGAGCCACTGGCAAACCACTTTCCTCTCTCAGGACCGAAAGACGAAAGTGGCTCTCCACTTATTTCAACAGTTGTTTTTTGTATATTGTTAAACGTATTTTTTAAGTTAATTAAGATATTAATTCCATCGATTCACGCACGTGCTAAAATACAGCTGTTTTCCGTCGCTGCTGAATACAGCATAAATATATGTAGCAGGTGCATTCCGACAATGGCAGCGCCAGTTGCAGAATAAAATTGTAATTACATCTGTGTTGCAATGAGTATTGACCGGGAGACACCATGGTTTGTAGTGTTGTACAAGTTTATACTATAATTGTATTAACATTCTGATATCACAGAGCATTTTCATCCTGCCACGAATATAACATTGATTAATATATTCTCAACTATAATGGCGGAAAGTGATTAAATAATACAATTATGATACTACTAATTGTCCTTCAGCCAGTATATTTTGTGTGCTATCGACTCTCGCACATCCACCCCTCCTTTCTATTTATACATATAACACGGTTACTGTTGCTTTTGAATGGATCGATCATTGTCATTATCACAATCGTAGAACTCGTGGAAGCGCACAGTTCTTGCTCTTTTTCTTTTGTAGAAGTCCTTAACACATCCGAGAACTTTTCCTAATGCATCAACATACTAAATCGAACACATGGACATAATTGCAGACGACATGTTTAAAACAACGCTGATATTTTAATAGAATGTTAACATTTTTGTTTTTTTTTTGAAAAGTAATTTCATAAACATACATTATTAGATCCTTTGATGTTAGGCAAACATGATAAAAACGGGTTTAAAGCACTTTGAAGTTGAAGTTTTTGTGTATATTACGCCCATAACATTTACGCTTGTATGCCTACTGTTATATATCAATCACTTTATGTTTTATATGGATGATTAATGTGTGCTATTGTTGTCTTACCTTTCATAACACCCCTTTCTTTAGGGGTTTACTGAATGAAATTGATAACATCTATATTACTGCACTACAGGAAGTAGAACTATCTTTCCCATCGCGATATTGACTCTGCCTTGCTTTTAAAAAGTTATTTCAAGGCATTTTCTATTTTCTATAATTATCGCTTAATTCTGCAGGTTGTTCACCTTGCTATTCTCCACGCCTTGTTTGCTGGCAATCAGTGCAGTTCGTAGTCGGAAAGTAATTGTATGTGAACGCCTTCTTGCCATAAAATCATTAATTACTTGTATACCTGAAAGTAATACGTACCTTCACATCTTCCTACACTCTCATTTTCAGGTGTAACCAATCTTCCCATATTCACAACAGATCCGTCATTGAAAGGCCAAATGAAAAATTCTATACATCCTGCTCACTCATTCGAGAGACTATATTTTCTAAAAAAAAAAAAAAAAGTGTAATATCAAGGACAACCTCATCTATACATGAAAGCTTTATCATACCACATCCAAGTACCGAGAAAAAATGTTGGCACACTAATAATGATATGTACAATTTACTGAGACAAAATAAAGCTTTAAGAAACATTTACCATGATTTCTTTTTTTATTGATTGATTAAATAAACGACTGAAGAAATACATGGCCGAGCAAACCTTGGCACCTTGTCTGTTTCATAATGTTTGACGAAAGTTGTATGCGTTAGCGTTGTATTTCCTACTAGATACTAGCCATGGATACATTATCTGAGTATCGTTTTGATGTTAAAACCAGAGTATCAATTCACAAAACAAACTTAATAAGAAAGCAAAATAAAAATCAGCACTATAGTTTCTGGAGTTCTCCTAACATATCTTACGGGTACGTTCGGGGTGTTTTATAACCCTTTGTAACGACAGTGGGTTGCGTTTTACAGCCTACTACTGATTTTTTCTTAGTAAAGCGTTGTACTACGAGGTCATTATTTAGGGATAATTGCACACTTAGTCTGCTAGATCGTGTTAATTACCGTGATCATCAAAAATGGCATGTTTGTCGGTAAACTTGTTCTACATACTCCTTAGACGAAATCGTATTCAGATTAACAATCCCAAAGGAATATTTTGTTTTTGACCAGCCTTCGAGAAAAAACAGAATGTCGTTTTTCGAGCAATAGCATACCGTGCAAGATTATGTATGCATACCAGCATGTTATTTTCGCCTGTATTGTTAAATTTTAAAAATAATATTTAGATGCAATATTTGAGGATTGTTCATATTCATTCACAGTTAATGTAGTTTTTCACTTTTTAATTTATTTAATCGTTTGTTGTCTTTGTTTTAGATTACACGTTGTGGCCATTCTGGGTAGACAGAAAAGTCAACGTGGAACCACCCTTCAACAGAACTCCGTAAGTGTCCACCAACGGCAGACTAAGACCCCATATATACTCGTTTTCCCGAAATGATATGGCATATGATGCCAGTCCAAATTGTCTAAATATACTGAGTTTTTCAGTATCAGACGAATCCTTTGGTAGTTCTCAGAAAGTTCCTTTGTGCCAGAGTTCGTAATAATTTCATCTCCTTTTCAATTATCGGGAAACCAGGCATCTTTTCATTGATAAGTGAAAAAAGGTAATCGGATAGAGAAGATTGATGAATTACTTTAGAATATGACGTTGTTGCGTACTCCCCATAAGCAAGTCTTTTCTCACTAGTTTCGTTTCATGTTATGTTAAAACGACTTCAGTAATGAGAACCTAACATATGCAATATTTCCTATTTGTAATATACATCTACTCGAATCTGGTCATTTTATGAAATCAACATGGACAGCGTTACACCAAATTTTTTGATAAACGGCGGAATTCAATTTTCCTTTTGTGAATTTTCCATTTGTGGATAGGAGCCTTACTGCATCGCAAACCTATAGTATTTACATGTCGACCTTGGTCTAATATTCAAAAACAAATTTCCATCATCGCAATTTTCGTCATACTAATGGAAAAACTCTGAACGCTTGGTTTCAAAAAATGTAGGTTGGTGAAAATGATGGGGAATTTAACGTTCGTCAAAGTGGTCTCATTGAGACATATTTATTTTCGTTGCGCGAAACAAAACTAGACACGTTTGGTGCTCGTTAGTTTGCCATCGTTATATTTTCAATGGGTTTTATGGTTTATTAAAAACACCTCACGCTACCAAAGCTGTCTTATGTACAAAAAAGTAACCTTCTGACACTAGTAGGTATTAATATACTAGTGGATCAGGAATGCATATAACGCAGATACCAGTAGAATGCCATAAAGAAAGTTAATTAATTTTCTTGAATGACGTAGCGTATGTCAGTGAAATATTAAACCCTTTAGAATTTGAATGTTTTTCGGGGATTTTGATGAGTACTATTCATTAATGCAATCAAGTGACAGAGAAATAGTTATTTTGGCGAAAACCTCATTATTCAATTAAAAGAATTAAAAACGCAGGACAGTCGCATTCAATGAAAATGTTTTCTTTCCAGAGACGGTAAAGTATTTGATGCTCGCAGCCGAGAGATTCGTTCCTTCCCCGATATAGAACATATACTGAAGAAACTCAAAAACGAGAACTTCAAATTGGCGATAGCTTCTGAGTAAGTGTTACTCATCTACAGCAAAGGAACAAATCATTCTCTTTATTATATTATTATATCATTATTATAACATGTAAAAGATGATATCCTATAGCATATGATTCCTGTATTTAGAAGATAATTGATATACAATAAGGTAAATTCACAGATAACAAGGTAAATGGATGTTTGAATTTCTTTAATTTAACATTAAAGAAACAATGTTGCCAGATTGGGTCACACAAGTTTTTGTAATTTCTTAACAGGGCATTTAACAAGGAAGAGGTTCGAAGACTCGTTACGTATTTTGGATGGGACATCTATTTCGATCATATGGAAGTTTATCCTGGGTCCAAGATTACACATCTTCTCACGTAAGTGGTATATCATATCCACATACCTCATTCATCACCTGTCTGATTACAATGTCAAGCAGGCTGACAGGTAGAGCAAGGTATGGTGGCGAAAAGTCATCAACATTACACACCGGTCACATTGTTTGCATCGATATTCGTTATTCTTCTATTCCATTTCTCGCATTTAGATGTGTGATTACAGAGCATTCCAACATTTCATACGGTCTTGGAATATTTTCCGAATAATAGAAGAGTCAGATCTTTCAATGTGGTCTTATTTTCATTTAGTTAGTCCACCAGAATGATGAAGCAATGCATATTGGCGGGTAATGTATATTTCATTTAAATTTTTGGCAATGAAATATAGGAATTTATCATTGCAGATATAATAAATCCTATATCGATAGTAATTGCTTATTTTCTTAATTGCTAATATACCGTTCCACAATTATGATAAATAAATGGTTGTTTTCTGGTTATTGGAATGAAATTCGCCGGTAAATAAGTTAGTTCTCAATCAAATCTTTTCCTTGTACATTTTGGGATTCCACCAATTTGGTATTTAAAAGCTGTTTTTAGGCGATCATTATCAGAAAGCAGCCTAATGGTAGAATGCTACTTATAGTGAACAATAAAACATGGCGTAGTGTAAATTATCCTAAGGCAAAGAACATCATAATATTTCTCGACCTTTTTAAATCTCGGATTGCTTGCGTTATGGTTGCCTTTTTTCTGGCCGTTTTCCCTTCATATATCGAATAAAAAGACGATATCATATTTTCTCGTTAGATATTAAAGATGTATGACTGAAAATGTCTATGTTTATCACTCGTGCTTCGAATTAATGAAATAATATAAATATTGTTACACTCGTTATATATATATATATGATGATTAATGAGAAGCCATTAAAGCTCATGTATATGTTCATATTTCTCCATTTATCCCGGAGAAAACAAGATATTCAAAATGCAATTATCGAAAAAAATGAAATTATGTTTCTCGTGGAAATACGAACTACACGAACGTAAGGAAAAACTGAGATATGTTCTGATAAATAATTAGCTTTCCTGCTTTTCGCTCGCAACAAGGGCTACGAACAGCCATGAGAATAAAATGACTATCATTTTTTTTTTCTAACGCAGGAGCAGCTACTCCTTCTTTAAAAAATATGCATCAAATACATATAAAATAGCCTAAATGGGCTTAGCAATACCCACCACTAAGAGGGGAAATATATTATACATTGGAATTAAATCAAAACACAAAACGGACGGCTGTGGGTTGTTTTATATAAATACACAAGGTTTTGGATGTTATTAAGATGACTGCTGAGTAAAGAAAAGGACGCAGTTCCTAGCCCGTTCTGGCCAATCAGTGATCAGCATTTAGATAACCATTAACATTCCGGAAGTTACATACTCTTTAGAAAAAAAAAGAAAGAAAGAAAAGAAAACCGGATCAGTTAGGATGCTATTTTGTAACAAATTATATACCACTTGCAACGACGAAAAAAATCAATCCAATGAAATTGCGAAATCTCACACATACTATAAGTAATGAAGTTGTGACATGGAAGTGGAATTCCCAGTAATGCTTTGCACCAATGGACGATAGCAATATGACGAACATAGTAACAAATAGTCTCTTTCATAAAGACGCTCCATCATGAGTGCATAAAAAGAGTCTTACTGTACGAGACTAATCGACAAACTTACAAAAATTGTCAGAAAGGATAAGCTAGGAAGAGCAAATCATTATGAACTAGTCAGGAACACAAATGCACAGTATTCAGGAAGGAAGAGTGCCTTAAACGTTTGTTTAAACAAATATTGTCGAAAAATACTTTGTCGTGTTTGTTTACCACAACACATCAGTGATAATACTATGCTACCTCCGAATGGCTTTGGCGTAATTCATAATAATGTACCTAAATGACATTGACTGATTTATGAATTGGTAAAAAACTATTTGAAATAGAGACATGGTCGTGTATCGGTTATATACACACCATTGGCTAATTGTGATTATGAATGATATTTGTGTTTATATAGGATCAAGAAAGAGAGCGGCATAGATTTCCCTGATATGATGTTCTTTGATGACGAAAGGGATCACCTCTCAGAAGTAGCACACACTTGCTTAGGTAAGAGAAGACAATATCAACTCCCAGAAGTAGCGCAGATGTGCGTAGGCGGGTAAAAATAATATTAACTTTCAGAACTAACGCACATATACTGAAGTGAGTAAAAATAAGTTGATTTTATTTTCAACGATATAACGTGAGTAAAGATAATATCACCTTTCAGAAATACCACATACGTGATTAAGTGAGTAAATAAAATATCTCTCAGAAATACTGCATACGTGATGAAGTGAGTAAAAATAATATCTCTCAGAATTACGTTATTAATTGAGTAAAAAAATATCACCAAATTGTAATAATGACAGTACGTAAAAGTACATTGCCATCATTTCAATCCGTCCATTTAAAACATCAAATTTGTTCCCAACGTGTAATATTTTGTGTCTGGATAAAGGGATGGATTGCCTTGAAAACGGACAATTTACTTGTTCATACTGTTGTTATAACTTCATTACTTCATTGACCATAGGTCTATGACATTAGTAATACAAAGCCGACTAACATCAAATAACAATACACCTGGTCTAATTATCCTGTAATTTTTCAGGAGTATCCGTGTAAATCTGCTTATTTATATTTAATCCATACTTTGCGCTACTTCATTGAATTTGAGTTTGGATTTTGATTATGTTGACATGTTGGTATTACCTACTAGACTATCAGTATATATTAATTAACGTATATGGTAGTAAATTACTAAATATACGTTTGTCTCTGACAAGCACGTGCTTTTGGGAGCTACAAATGACAAACTTGTATAGATGAATCAACACACATGTCCAACGTAGCCATATATATGTTTGGAAGGCATAACATGTCGTCACATTACAGAAATATAGCAAAAGTGTTATATAATAGTTTTAAATTCATTTTATTTCAGCGTTTTCAACTTCCTGTGTCCATTTCACTTTTGTCATTTCCAGGTGTTACATGTATATGGGCAAATCGTGGAGTGTCTGAGGAAATTTTGGAAGAAGGATTTAAGGCTTTCTCAACCAACCACATTAGCAACGCAAATAACAACAATAACAACATGCTTCACTCGAGCACGAGTTCTCTTAACAGCAACGACTCCGAAGAGTCCCAGAGTGATACAACTGTGTTCTACGTACACAAAAGGCGCGGGTCACGTGCCTCTATTACATATGATACGCCACCAGTCATTGACAGAGCAGTGCGCTTGCGTGGAAGAAGAATGTCTGCTCCAGCATTATCAATTCCTAAATTGGACACCAAAAAGCTCTTGGCATGTCAGGAAATAAACGAAAACTGATGTTCTGTAGTACAATTAACACTGGTATAATTTACGAATGTGACAATACAAGTGTTATGCTAGTATTGTAATACCATGATGGTACTTGTAAGTTTGATATTTATGTGTTCGCAAGTGACAAATGTCTGTTTCGACAGAAATCCTAGATGGATTTTGACGTTCATTGTGCAATAGAATGTGATACCTTTTGGAATAAGAAATTTGCGAACAAACTAATGTGTAAAATAATTTTGTAAAATTGCAGCATGAATTACAACGCAGGGACACAACCAAAAGTAAGTGAAGTTAAAACACGAGATTGCTTTAACAGATGCTGCAATATAATTGGACGATTTTAGAAGGTGTTTAACTGCTGAAAGGCATATAAATGCGCGGCATACCGCCACTCACGTGAAGCCGATAGAACATCTGGAACTGAACAGGTGCATGTGTTTGTATTGAGCACGATGAAGTGGGTCTATGGTTCTACATCCAAGGCGTTCTTGTCAAGAGATGAAAAGAATCCTGAATGAACGGATAGGATGAGAAATAAATAAAACCCACAAATTTTAACAAAAAATGCTTGTGTTGACTTTGGGATGAAAGGGGATGGATATCACCTTACAACATTAATTCTTAGTTATGTATGTTAACGATACAGAGAGGATATAGGAGATGTGTAAGATCTCACTAATTGATTAGAATGTTTCATTTCCCTTTCAAGTATGTGACAATAATTCTTAACCTAATTTCTGAGCATTACAGTGTCGACAAGGGATATGCTATAAGAATTAGGTTAGATTTATCCGGCGTCACACTACGGTTATAAGATAAATAAAATTCACTGAAAAAAAAACGAAAGTCAATGTGAAATCCCGACCTAAAGCCATTTGGTGCCGGGATTCTTAGGGATCCTGAGCGTTTACTGCATGAGAGAAAGGGATAACTAACTGGATAAAGATGTACGAAGGGAAAAAGAAGATCAGATTAATTGGTGTTAATTAAGGAGAGAAAGGATGTGTGGAAGGTTGTTTTGCAAGGAGTGGTAGAACATATTGTTGCTTGGTATGGCGAGAAAAATGAATGATTGATTGTTTCAGAGGAATTGTGCTATTTGGAGGGACAGCAGACTGATTAAGTGCGGGTTTTCTGGAGGAGAGAAGCATGACTGAAGCTAGATAGTTTGGGAGAAAATCAGTATTAGCACTTCTACACTGTATGCAAAACGTAGCGCAAGAGTGATAGGCATAAAAAAGATAGATATTTACAATACTTTGTAGTGAACTACACAAACATTACCTTGAATTTGATTAATTCTAGTCTTTCATGTAGATAAAATCTTAAAATCTTATATGTTACATGTTAAATTGCATGTAGAGGTTTCGTAAACGCTCGCTCTTTACATAGGCAAGTATGTTTGTATGAATGTACTGTTTATTGTAAGTATGTGGTTGTGGTAATGTATCTGATATATAGATTTATATATATAAATGTATTTCCTTAGTCATGGTATGACCGAAAAAAAAGATTACCACCAGTTTAATCATTGTATTGCACGTTATTTTTCATCGGAGTTTATACTTATCAACACTTTGACAGATACCCTTATATAAAATACATATTTTACCGTATTTCAATGCTTTTAGGGGAAAATACATCCATGTTATCTTGTAACTCATATTTCCCCCTACTTGACGAGGTATTTTTTACCCACAAACATTGTTTTGTGTTGTACCCCCTAGACCTAATTTTCAATATTATACATATATAGCAATAAGTATTTTAAATTACTGTTAAAGATTTCAGACTTCATGGACCATTAAAACTGTACAGGAAAATCAATTTCTTGTTAAAGTGATTGGCTTTGATAATTTTGAGCTACATTTGTAACACACTTTCGACAGAAAATAATTTGTTCCATACTGTAATTATATAAGAAGAAACATATCCTGAACATTTTAGACAACACGTGCACAATAGCACTTTAAATCCTAATTCTTAATCCTCACCTTATGATATTGTTCAAATGTCCTTATGTTTTATATTTTCGTAGCAGTGTTATATTAAAGAGTATATAGATTATAAGTATATATATATATATATATATATATATATGATATAATTTTGAAAGTAGATATGTATTTGTATATATATGGTACCAGGCGCATTGTACATACGAGTAATAAAAACAAGAGATTATGAATATTAATTAGTAATAGATGTGTAAATTATACGTAAAAGGTTAATATTCATTTTAGTGCTGAATATGTATATGGTCGTCCGCTGTGCAGACAAGTCTATATCTGTTAGTGAGATGATTTATCTGTGGTACAGAGGTAGAAAATAAAACGTTAAAAATTAATTGCTGGTTTGTTTGTTTGTACGATTTTATTGATTCGCAGGAAAGGGTTCCACATCAAACGGGAGAACGGTCATTCTTTGATTTACATGAATGCAAAATAATAGTTGTTACAATGTACCGTTTGCCACTGAAATATTCTAAACTCCTTATTGGTTCTAGACATTTTTGATAGTGTTGCTCAGAAATACGATTGCACCTGTTGTTAATCAATTAACAAGTAACTTTCTAAGTAAGCATGGACATTGTCTGCTGAAAGTTATATCGTTAAAGTAAGTAAAATGACTTTTTAGTGTCAATATTCACTGTTATGTAATATCCCAAGATAATTCAGTGAAGCATGTCAGTAACACTGAGTCCTCACAAGGACGGTTGTTCCTAAATCAATGAACTTCGCTTGGGGTGATACGGTTAAGCTCATCTACATTGACAACATTGAGTTATGTCAATGACGAAACAGGGAAACAATCTATTATTTGTGGAAAAGAGTCGTTTCTCATTGACATATAAACAACACGTATAAATCATCTGTCTTGCTCGCAGGAACATCGAATCTTAGAGGGAAGCAAGCTTTTTGCGTTTACAGAAGAAACGATATTAGGTTAATACGATCGAATTATTTTTTAGTCAAAAAGTCATCAATTTGATATTAAAATAAAGCAACGCATGCGTATTGCTTTTACACCCGGTTGCCGGTCGTGAAGTTCGCTATGTAATAACAAAGCTTTCGATTTCCATCACGATGATTGAAGCATTGTTATATCGTTTCGGGAAATTTCGTTCAGAGGATGAGGCTGGTCATACTATTTATTCAGGTGACGATAGTACCTATTGACGGTGTGATGACAGGCATCAATCTTCAACCATGTTGTTTTAGAAAACATTATTAGGCTAGTCACAAACATGCCAGTGATATGCAAGCGGAAGCCAACAATGGTGTATAATGGTCAAAACCACGATACGTTCAATACTCTAGAATTCCGGAATGTACCACATATGTCAAATTCCTCATGAAATGAACCTCTTGATCTGTTATTGGACAGGAATTGCTCTTCGACCTTGAAATGTATATCCCCATCAGTCTTGTTTACAAAAACAGAACCACGTGTTCCATAACACCCGCTAACACGAAAAGGGCGCGAAATAGATCGGCCTGTCTTAGGAATGCCTCTGTGATGGTTATTATCAGAGGCCTCCAAGTGTCTATCTTTTATCTAAATCAACTGACCAGTACGTAAAATGGTATTCATATTCAATTATCAAATCGTGAGAGGAAGTAAATAAATTCGAATGTGTTTTTGTGAAATGAAAGAGAACAAACTATAATGCGATGAAATTAATCACTGACATCAACTGAATCTAACAGAACTTAAACACACATGCCACTGATAGACAACCCAGGGTTGATGTAGGGTAAGCTGTACATGTTATGTATCAGAATCAATTGACTTAACAGACAAACACAGACATGGACCGTACAGGAGGTAGTGGGAGAACAAACACTTCCCCTGTTTATTTATAAATGCTGAAATCATTTTAACGAGAAATCAGTTACAGACAGATTCTTGAAAATGTTACTCTTAGTGAAAATAACTTTCATTGGGATTCGTGTTGCAAAATTAAACTTTATATTACTTAACTAAATTTGCTTAATATGTGTTTCTTTAAATGAATAATGATAGTCGGCTAGTACCGTATTTTGTTAGGATGAATAAATATCGAGAAAAAATTCTACAAGCAACAGCCTATAAGGCGATGTAGGATATTCCCTACCACGAAACCCTGAGCATTATCTCTGTATCACGAAAATTAATATGTTGCTGTGATTCAAATTGCCAGTACCACAAGGAAATAGATGTTGTGCATTTATGCATTCATCGGCTTTGAGCAATATTACGGCTAGTACGTGTAACAGAACAATTCATTGTACTTTAGATTAGCTGGTATTTTGATATATTGTGATAAATTCAGGGACGATTTAGCAATCATGGAGTATGCTCACAAGGGATATAGGCCAATGTGATAATGCAAACCAAATGTTGAAGACATATCAAAGATGAATGAAATGGAATTCCTGGCATTTTAACCTTTTTATAGTCTACGTCTGGTGTTATTTTTAACACAATACGAATCTATTACGTTTTTTCAAGGATATCTTAATTCAGCAATAACATGATTATAAACTGAATGCCAGCTAACTTACTATTCCCTGTGTTGCTGTACTTACTTATTCCCCGATCAAAAAGATACCAGAAACATTCTTTAGATAAGTATATATAAAAACTGCAATAAATGTTTAAAATAATGTTACTCTAACAATAAAGATAGAGGTTCCCTGCAAACTTTATTTACGACTTCAGTTCAAGACTGTTTACTATTTTGAATGGTCAGTCGGTCAAATATTTGGTTTCTAGGTCATAATCTCTGGCATAGCTCCTAAAACCATTTCACGCCATTCCAGAGTTCAATTCTTATCTGGTACTCTACTTCACATGTATTTTCCATCACCAAGCTATGTAAATGTAAATTTAACGCGAGCCTAAGCAGTGGTAGTTGTAAATCTAACGATCTAACTGACATGGACGTTGCCGAAACAAAGGTTAAGAATGTTGTCCGAACGTTTCTTGTTACAAATAATGTATTACATGTAAACTGGAATGCTTGACTCATAAGCAGTTGACCAGGAGATGTGTATAATGTTGTCTGCCATTTTCCAATGATATCAATCAATTCCTGACACTTCCTAATAAATTAGGACCTATCAAACATTTTAAAAACAAAATTAAGGCATTAGACTATATTGCATCAAGAACCCATATCTCTAGATTTTAGAAGTATTCCAAGACGTCCTGTGAAGGGTTCACATCGGTCAGTAAGAATAGATAGAGCAAAATAGACCCATGAAATGTACGGAATGCATAAACTGCAGAAATGTTCCTTGTGACATTGAGAAAATGTTTATCATTGGTCTACGATCTTTGTGATTCTAGTTGTAAATTATCTGTGGACTTGGTGACCTTCAAACGAACTCTTTCCAATCGTTATCAAATTACGCTACACCTCTTAAAATTGCTTATTAATTTTCTTTAATTTAATACCACACAAAATATTACATGTTCCCGGGGAATATTCCATCAATTTGCAGCTAATTTGAATGCATTTTTATAAATGATATTTTCACGCAATCTTTGTTTTTCACATTTGTTTTAAATGACTGTGATCTTTTATTGCGTGCGACTTCGTGTCTTCTTTGAAAGTCTGTGTAGTCCACCATTTTGATTCCCTTCTCCCTTACTGCTTACAATTCTCGTTTCAAGGTCAACTGCATCGTTCGTTAATAATACATTCAAAGGTAAATTTTTCCTTCAACATTTCAACAGACATATTTATGTTCCTCAAGTTTTAGTATTGTACAGCCAGAGGGTATTGTTGAACTTTGCTTATAAATATTGAAATAAAAACTGAAAATTATTTTTAAAAAATCGTAAATTTTTTAACAAATTTCCCACACGAGTCGAGTGATCGATTCATTAAATATACGCAATTCAATAAATTCAATAATTTTCTGTACGTCTGCACGAGTATGATAATATCTTATCTACACCACATGCACCAGTAGGGAAGTAGGTCAGTGATAACACGGAGGTTGGGTTTTTAGTGATGGTCTCTCGTGTTACGACCTGGCATTGCTTACCGTTCTATGTAGATGCGCATGCGATGTATCCTCGCAGCTGCTGTTAATGTCATATATGTGTACCCTTCAAGGCACACCACTAATCCCTCGAGGGCCTTTTGACATTTTTATGTATATTTCATTTAAGGAACACTTTGTTTGTATCACCCTCGTCGTCCTGAACATGTTTTACTACTTCATATTTGCTGACATGTACCTACATCATTATGTCTCTGCATACTGTCATCACTAACTCTCCCGTACGATTACAGCGTGACATACCTGATTTGTAATTGAACCCCACTTTTTCCCATTGACAATGAACAATATGGGTATACTAGTAATGACATAAAACTAATCACGGCACTATGACCTTTAGGAAATTAGTGCGATTAAGCTGTCATGAAATATCAAAAGGTAAACTTTTACGTGAAGAACGAATATGACTTCAGATATGTTTTTCTGTTACATTGCTGACATAAGAGGAACGTGCTGCAGAACACTATGTAGTATGTAATTAGAAAGGACAAAGATTTTATCCGGAAGAAATTCGGAAACTGTCTTTCGTAATAACGGACAAGCTATAGATGTTACAGTTACAGTATGGTGTATATCACAGTACAAAGCTGTCAGGAAACCTGCAGCATGCACGTTCTTAGTGTGTTATGTACAAATTTCCTACATGCATAACTACATATTAACACTAAGGTGTGAACATCAATATTAGACATATTACATCAAATCACGATTTTAAAACTGAAAAAGAATTGAAGGAATTTCGCTTAACATATCACAATCAACTCTTCTTTTTGATATCCTCAAGGCAAACAGTTATATCTTTGTTATTCCAATCATCAACTCATTATATTCGCCCATCCCGATCCCCAACGTTTCTCCTACCTATTCCTGTTTAGTTCATCCCACCTCAACCTGCAGTCTTCATATATAAGCATCCGCCTTGCCATTCCCTCTTGCCTTTTATTTATTTTTGTATATCATCACACTCTATGCTTATTCTCCAGTTTTTGTGAAACGTTCACCAAGAAACAATTACGATGCTCCGTTTAGCGCGTTATTTGGGTCAGAAATGATTAAATCTCTTGTCAGGTTGATGTACAATTGCTTCCCATTATTCTTAAGCTAAATAAGACATATTCGTTTATTTCATTATAGAGAAACTCATCATCTTATAATATGTACACTACGTTTTGCCGAAGAATTTCATGCTTTTATGCAAAAACGTTAAAGATTTTGGAAGCTTCCCAACATATTGGTTGAAACCACCGCACAACTGTCTATACAAAACGTTTGCTCGTTATATGCCTATAAA